TCATTTTGAAACGTGTATTACAATTAAATCACGGTAAAATAGGTTAATTTTGTCGTAGTTGGTTTCCACCACAGTATTTACATGGAAATAAGCCCCGCCCCCTCTCCAGCGCGTCCTGTTTGAATGACAGGAGTAAACACAGCTGACAGCCGCGGTGAAACTCCAGCGGGGGTGAGAATATTCGCATCGCGTCCGTTGTGAACGCAGCATAATGCAGTTCAGAAACCACTGTTCTGACGCTTTTAAAGCAACTTCGAGATTTTAACACTATCAGGGGCACACGGGCCATGGTGGCCGTAGGACGTACAATTATTTTCGGGGCTTCACGGCCAGACCGCCGTGAAAATCCTACCCTGGTGCACTCGCAGCACTCACATTCTATGACTGAGTGACTCTCTGTATCACGATAGATATGATATCTCTGAAAAGGCATATCGTGGAGACCTAATATCGTCTCGACGATATATATCGTCATATCGCCCATCCCTACCTTGAATATCCCCCTGTACACTTATATGCTTTCACAAAATATATTAGAGCAAGCAGTGCAAGATTTGCTAATGAAAATTGATTTAAAAGTTTGATTGATTTCTCCTTGATTTTCAAAAGGTACAATTGGAGTCAGAGGGTCACACTGCTGTACAGCCAACCGACTTCTTCCTTGGTGAGGATTGTCATTCATCTCTACTCATCATCCTCAGGAATGAAGACATTGCAGAGCACATTTGTGAGGTAATTGTTCTGCTTGAGACAAAGATTATGACAGGACTTTTTCAATAAGTATTCACGCATTAATGACTCTGATATTTCAGGTCCCGCATTTGCTTGAGCTCAGGAAGTCCCCAGTTGTGCAGTTCACTGGAATTGACGAACCAGATGATGTTGTGAATCTAACCCATCAAGAGCTTTTCACAAGGGGTGGCTTTATAATGTTCGACAGAGCAGGCCTGGAGCACCTGAACCTTTGTAGGTGCACTTTTCACTGAAAAAACAAATGTATTGTTATTTCATATTGTGTTATTTAAGCAGACAATTGTACTCATTATATAAACTTTGTATTAATTTGAAGGCAACATCAAAAAGACTTCAGAGGTTTTGCAAGAGCTAAGCAAAACGGGGAAGTGGAAATGGATGTTGCACTACAGAGACAGCCGTTGGCTAAAAGAAAATGCAAGGTAGGGGTTAACTTTTGAAAATATGTCTACAAAAAACCTCCCTATATAGCAATACACAGATGTTCAAACTTATTTGGGATAATTTATACTATATTTCTGACCTGGCACTAACCATGGTTTTCCATAAATTGAGATATTTAAATTGAGATATTTTTCACAGATTTTCCTAATATTTTCAGATACCATAGTGTCATCATTTTATGAAAGAATAAGGCCGAATGCAAAGTTTAAAACCTACTCTCATATGCAGGTTGAGTTTGGAGGGAAAGGAGAAGCAGAACTACCTGAACTGTTGCCAAGAAGCTGGAATATTGGAGGTCTTGCCTTATCATGAGTGCGACCTCATGTCAAGAGATGGGCCAGACTACCTTGCTTGCTTGGTCCGTTTGCAGGTCCAGAATATATCAGCACGTTACCCTGTGTTTATAACCGGTGAGACACTAATCTACAAATACATTATCTGTACCTTTTACATTCAATGAGACTCACGATACTGTCGTTTAATTTTGAAGATGCCGTTTGCAAGAACTCTACAATTAACATCCCAGTAATTGCTTTCAATGATTCATTTGATTGGACTTTAGAAAAAAAAAAAAAGATCCTCAAAAGTCAACCTGTAGAGGTTTTAGTCATTGTACAGTGCAAAAAAAATGACATGTTTTTCTTATTCTTACAGACACAACGGCAGAAAACGCATTTGGAAAGAAAGGAATATTAACAATGACTTTCGACTCTTTCCTGACGTATTCTCCAAGCTTAACACGTACAGCCTGAACTGGAAAAAGTCAGATGGCGTATCTTAAGTTGTGCTATTCAAGAACACAACAATAACAAAAACTCACTCGATGCGAGTAATTTACCTTGATATGGTGATTTCAAACCTACTACATTTTATTATTTATTTTTTGACGAGGCCTTCAGCAGTTAATCTCTTTTGTATGAAGCAATTTATTTGTTATTTGACATTATTTTTCTATAATGGTTTGCAATTTATCGTTATCAGTTAATGGATAGAGCTACACACATATTGAAATAAAGGCAGGTGTAGTGTATATACTGTATGCATTTTGTATATTTTGTAAATTGTATTTTTACAGTGTATACTAAGTTGTGTTGTGTTAAATGTTGACTTCATTCAAGGAGGTGATACTGAATGTTCAGTCTGCTTTGGTTAGGCAGGGTTTTTGTATGAGCATGGCTCAAAGAAGAACCTTCAGATACAGCCATGACATTAGTGTTTCAGGCGGTTTCAAATATTTTATATATTTAAGTATTCTGACACTGATTCTTAATTATTGACTTATATATAGTTGAAGCTTAGCAATTTATCATTTTGACTATGCACTTGTGTTCATATTTCATGACTGTATAGAGATATTTTACTGAGAATAAAGTGGTTTGTTTGTTTTGCTTTAAGGAAAAAAAAAATGTTTCAATAACAATGTAAGCTTTGGGGGAAGACTCAGGTTTTAAGTTACTTTCAGTCCATTCACACATTGGCAATACAAAGCCACTCATAAATGAAAAATATTACATTTCAATATCAGTAGACAAAATTAGGATGTGCAAATCTATCCAAAGTGCTTTTACCCGATCCTTAGCATGTTATACTATTTGTGGAGTTTAAGTCTAAAATTAGGTCTTCTGGAGATGTAATCAAATTAAGTTATTGAATAATACTGCATAATAATGCTGGAGGAATTCTGAGGTGAGGGAGGTGTGAAGGTAATGTAAAAAAAGAAAATGTCTGACTGCACATTGTGGCACATGCCTGAGTTCTGCTGATTTATTCTCCAGCTCATAGCCTCATCCATTCAAGCCTCCAGGAAGTGCGCCGGACTCTGATGAAAATAATAGGCTTGTTTGAGACGCGTTGCGGCTCGCCTCGAAAGTAGACGAGAATAGCCGACGCAGCCGGGAGAGGTCTCAAAAAGCTCGCCTGAAGTCGGACAGCTCCGAGTGGGCTTCGACTTCGGCTTCTTCTTCTTCTTCTTCTCGTCTCCTCTTTTTTGGCGGATTGCAAACAACTTTAATGTGCATACCTCCACCTCCGGAGTCGGCTTGACTAAGTTTGCATTTATAAAGAGAATGCACACATGTGTTTAATCGTTAATGTCAGATATGTATTAAGTAAATACATTTGTTCCTGCTCAAGATTAGATTCAACTCTATTGTTATTGCACATATTACAGGTACTGAGACAACGAAATGCAGTTTAGCTTCTAACCAGGAGTGCAACAAGCAGTAAAGTGAAAAGTAATGTACACAATCTACAGAATAAAAGATAGAATGAAGTGAATGATGAATAAACAGTGAGGGTGTGAATCGTATGAATACACTAGATATACACAGCAGCTTGTGAGCAGTATGAATATGCTAAGATATATAAAGTATAAAAACGGTAAGCAGTGCAAGTATAGTATAACATATATATATATTAATTTCATGATGATAAACATTGTGGAACAATGATGAAAAATGTGAATGGAAGTGGCGACGTAAAACTGACACCAAACAACAACACATTTTTGCCGAGACAATTGGAGAGTTTCATCAGCAGCACGGGGTAAAAACCACCAATGAGCGCTCAGCTCGAGATACCAGCGAGTCGTTTCCGATCAAGCATTTCGCTTCCGCAGCCCGTGGAGAGGAACTGCGCCGCCTCGCCGCTCCTCGCTCTCAAGGCTGTGGGCGTCTTTGTCCCGCGAGATTTCAACGTCTCATGTGAGCGAGCCTCCAGAGCAAGTCGGACAAAATGACTAACCATCATGCAACGCGCAGGTTTCGCTTGTCTCTGTCACTACCCGATTCGTCCCCCTTCCCGATCGGTACTGCGCATG